ACTCCTAAACGGGCAATTAGGCTTTATTATTATAGGAAAAGAAAGTAACACGTCTGCCTTTCTTCTACTCTCGTCGATTGCCTATTTTCATGAAAGATTGTCTATTTTTCTGGGATTCCACAATAATGTACAGTTTCAATGATTTGGAATCGAAAGGAATGCAATCTAATCTCTATCTTATTTTTCAAAATGAATTAATTTTTGATCCTCTATAACTTTCCATACCGGACGTACATTTTCCCAAAAAAATCTGCAGTACATTAATAAGGGAGGGGGATGAAACATTTGAGAACGAGCGTTTCGTGACGATATTAATTAGCGGCCTGTCTTTTTGTCGCTCAGCATGCGTCGCTGAAATGGTCTGGTGACAGCGAGGTCGACAGGCGTCGTTTGGCAGCAGATGGGAAAGGTATCTATGGCCGTAAGAAGTGCCGCTATGTCCCACATCGAGCCACGGCACATTAATAAGGGAGGGGGATGAAACATTTGAGAACGAGCGTTTCGTGACGATATTAATTAGCGGCCTGTCTTTTTGTCGCTCAGCATGCGTCGCTGAAATGGTCTGGTGACAGCGAGGTCGACAGGCGTCGTTTGGCAGCAGATGGGAAAGGTATCTATGGCCGTAAGAAGTGCCGCTATGTCCCACATCGAGCCACGGCTGCCTACGATTCTGGGACGGTGAGCACACTTTTATATGTACCATGCAGATATACGCGTACGTGTATCATGTAACGCGCGCCTATCTTCCGGGAGGTGTTTCCTACGATCTTTTCTTCACCCTCGCGCCGTAACTCACGCGTGCCCAACCTGTATTTTTATCCCCCCTCGCGATTCCACAATTCCTCTACCAGTAAATGGTACCACTTTTGGTAAATGTTGCATACAATCAAAAGCTGCATGGATATTTTAATACTTAATTTTTTATACAAAACTGAACAGTGTTATTATTATTATTATTACTATTACATATTATAAATAGACGACGATTTTATTAATTGATGAATGTTGCATCTAATCAAAGGCTGCATATTTCAATATTTAATTTCTTATACAAAACTGAATAGTATTATTATTATTATGAAATATTATAAATAGACGAAGATTTTATTAAT